GCTCCCCCCACCGACTCCTGTGCGCTTCAGACCTGCCTCGGCATGCAGGAGGACACATACCCACCCACCCACACCATACGCGTATTCTTCAAGTAGCGGTGTGTCCTTAGACACGTGTCATTTTTATTATTTCTCCTCCTGTGGTTTCCCAGCACACGCTTGCCCCGAGACACGCTCTGCCCTACTTCCCGCGCAGACAGGGCTCCAATCCGGCAGTCGCCCGGCACCCTCGGTCCCTGATGAAGCTACAGCGCTGCCGGCATGGCACGGGGTCGCTGTTTGGCTCTTGCGGCAGCTGGTGCCAGGGCTTCCAGCCGATGCAGCGAGCACTGACCCAGCCAGCCCTGGCCATGCTGCCCTGAGGGCAGCACGGTGAAGTGAGCCAGGAGGATGAGCTTGTCGTTGTGCTGGGGACACAAAGCACCTGGGAGTCACCCAGGCTTGGATCTTGGGGACAAGCCGGCCAGGAGCAGGCAGTGATGGTGGTGCGCATGATTGCTCGGAGCATGAGTGCGCAGGGATGGTGTGTGTAGGTGCATGTTGGTGTGTGTACACAAGTGGGTTGGTCATGCGCTGGCTCGATTTTGGAAATCAAAAGGGGAGTGAGGAGAGGAGGGTTCAGGGGGTTTATATCTCCCGTGCTCTCCTGCAGTGCCCAAGTGAGGACAGACTGGAGGGCAAGATGAAGAGCAAGGTAGGTGTGAGTTGGGGCTAAGGGATGGAGGGAGGGTGGATCACTTCATTGGGGATGGAAATGGGTTGAGTGTCCTGGATTAGCCCTTGTCACCTGCTGATGGAGCCCCAGCTCAGGGCTACCTCATCCCACGGTTGGAGATGCACTGGTGGGGTGGGAAGCTCAGAGCCTGAGAGAAACCTGCCCCTTTGCAAGGTGGGGGGAGGGTTGTAAATATGGCCTGGAGGAAGGAGGTGCAGCGGGGAGGCTGGTGTGCCTGGCGGGCGTGTGGGCAGCACAGCGGGCAGAGCCCCAGTTTGCTGGCAGGGCTCAGGGACCTGGGGCACCAGGGGTTGGGTGCACATGAGGGGCAGGTACGGGGGCTGGGGGCAGGTATAAAGGGGTGTGAAATGAGGCTGTGGGGTGGAAAAGCAGAGTTAAGGGGTTGCACGAGAAATTTGTGGAGCAGAAGAGGGTGGAAGAGCTGAGCTGGGTTTGTCTTGCATTAGAGCCAGGGCTGGGATGTGGTTTCCCATCTCACCCCGACTGCTGGTATCTCGGCAGCAGTGCCCTTGCAGGACTCGGATCTCGTCCCTTTACCCCAGGTGGATGCTGCAGCGGCTGTGCGGTAGTGTGGCACATGGCGATGCTCCTGGACATAGCTTCTGCTGCCTGCTGGCCTGCCTGCTCCCTGGCAGTGCTCTGGGGGGACCTGCACCTCAGCCTGCCATGGCATGGTCCTCTCTGAATGTGTCCTTAGCTGTGACAATAAAACAAGCCCATCTGAGGGGCTTTGGTCCTAATAAATAAAGCCCAAACCTCCCTGTCCTGCTTGTTGTGGTTTGGCTTGGGTGGGTGGAGGGAGGGAGGAGAGAGCTGCCAGGGATGCTACAGGTTCATATAGCATCCCACAGAACCATGGGTGGAGGAGATGGGTTTTGAGCATGGAAAGAAAGGACCAGCTTTATAAAACACATATGAAGATGACTAAACCAGAAGCAATGCAACAAGGAGGAGGAGGATGGGGAAAAGTTTTCTTCTGATCATGAAAAAAAGAATAATAGCAACATCAAAACTAGAGTACGTTGATGTTTTTTCATCGAAGTGCAATTTCTTTATCCAGGCCGGTGATGGAATGATCCAGCCACCTGCTGCCACCAGCATCCCCTCCCCATGGCATGAGATGGTGGGGGCAGGACATGCCGATGTGTTATCTGGAGGTGGAGGAATTGGCCCCGTTAGCTACTGATAGCTCATGTGCAGAAAGATGACTTGTTACTTACAGCTTTGAGACTGCTCGGGTCAGATGCTGTTTATTAGCAGAGAGCCCAGACAGATCCATCAAGTTGACTAAGCGCATCATTAACCAGGGGTCAGCAGCGCGGTGTGCCTCCTCCGCCAGCACAACCTCCCTCTGGGGCTGATGGGTCTGGCACGTGGGTGAGGGCAGGAGCTCTCCCAGTCCCGTGCCCACTCGCTCATGGGTCCAGACCCAGACCCTGAGAAAGGCACATCCCAGCAGGCCGCTGCAAACACGGGTGCAAATCCAGCCTGAGCATCCGCAGATCTGAGCCCAGTCCACCCTTGGTGTCACAGGAGAGCAAAGCCTATGGCTAAAATAGCTGACCCCTCTCTGCAGCATCTCTCCTGCAGCCCCTCTACTTTGTCCCCATCCGCTCCCAGCCACTGACTCTCCATGCCCAAAGCTGAAGTCCGTGGGGGTAAGGTGTTCTCAGGGGCTCAGCACCCGCACAGCACTGTCCACACTAGACATCGTTTCCACCATCAGAGGGCATTGTTGGATTAATTTTTATCCCAGCTGATGGTCAGGCTGGTTTATCGAGTGGTTGGGGTTAGTGCTGATACTGCCGGGGTGGATGTTGCAGTCCAGCTGGCAGGTGGAGAGCAGGTCTTGCCCTGGCACGCTCACATGGACTCTGGTGGGGATGTCCTGGCCCCCTTGATGTCCCTGGCATCTCGGCATGTGACTTTGGCCAGTGGGACCCTTGGGGGACAGGGGCTGGGAGCGGGCTGTATTAGTTTGCTAACACAGGGGAGAAGCAGCATCTCCAAGACTGTCTCATGCTGCACACTGTGCCCTTTCCAGACTCTTAATGCAGTCCTACAGGGCACAGACTGTGTTTGTAACCCCACAGGGGACCAGTGAGAGTCACAGCATCCACTTTTAGTGAGCTCTCCCCGGGAAAGGTCCGGAGAGCATGGAGTGGAAAAATCCACTAGATGTTTTTTTCTAAAGCAATCACTCACATGCCTTTTAATTTATGAGCATCCCAGTCGTCAGGTTTCTGGGCACCTTAGCAAGGATCACGCAAAGGCGTCAGTTCCAGGAAAGCAGCCTCTTGCAGAAATAAGCTGCAAGTGGGAATCAGACCTGTGCCTGGTAAACAGCAGCCCAAAGCCAGGGCGAAGCTACTGTTGTGCAAAGGGACCATGGTTGGGGGATCCTCTCTGCTCTAGCCGGGGGTTGCAGCATCCCCAGGCACTGCTGATAAAGAATTTGGGGTTCTTCACCTCGAGGAGGCTGGGAGGGTGTTTAGGGCCCCTCCGTTGCAATGAGGCCCCAAGGGAAGGATTTGTTCCTGTCCTTGACATCGCTCTTCTGCTCCACTCTTGTTTTGCCCAGTGTCATCTGAACCAGGAACCTGGATATGATCTACTGAGGCCCTTGCAAAAGGTAGCAAGCTGAGCCCCTCATCCTTCCTCCCACCCTTCTTTGCTGCCCTCCTCTTCCTTTCGACAGAAACGGAGGAGCTCCCTCCAGGCTGAACAGAGCTGGCTGCAGTGGTGGGCAAAGGGGACACCCAGCAGCCCCATTGCCCATGCTACATGCGCGTGGCATTGCTCTCCGTAGCCAGCTAACGAGCCACCCATAAATCTCACCCACCCACAGTTCTTTTCCTCTCCGCACCCGCTCCCAGCCCCAGCGGGAACTTGCTGCTGTTGCTTTGCCCACAGTGATGTCCGAGGGGCACAGCCCTCCTGGGGCAGGGGAAGGGTTATCGGAAGTGTGTTTCCAATGGGAGACTGGTGAACAAGGGATGCTGATAAGAAAAGAATCCCAATTAACTCCAATTAACTCTTCCCACCACCACTTCAGCCCTGGAAAAGATGCTGCTGCAGAGCCAGCGCAGCTGCCAACATCTTTAGGGACCACAGAGCTGGGTGGGGGTCCATCTCCATCTCCATGGTCCATCTCCAGCCACCCCCTCCCCACTTTCAAATGTGACCAATGACACACCCTGCCCATGGGTATACCTGAGGCAGATGTATGGGGGTGGGAAAATGCCCCCGTGGCAACATCAACACCAACACAGTATCCTGTGACCGCCCCCACTCATCCCCAAATGGGTGCAGGTGCCTCCCTGCTCCCCTGGGCCATGGAGGCAGCTGCATTAACCCACAAAGTTTGGGTCAAAAGGGTTTGGCTGCACAGGGCAGGGGTAGGGAGAGATGTGGGGGAGATGAGACAAACAGGGGCTGGGAGAGACTTGCTACTGCTTCGCACAGAAGACAGGCAGGAGAAAAACAACTCACAGCCAAAGTAAAAGGAGAGAGAAGAGACATGGAAGGGACACAGCTCCCTGGGTGCAGCTGGTGGGGGTGGTAGGTTGCTGCTGGATCCACGGGGAGCCATCAGGGCAGCAAAGGGTACTTCTTACAGAGTACTCTGGGGTTATGCTTAAGGGTTTCCTCTCCCCTCTACCTACCTCTCTGGTAGCATCGAGAGTTGGAGACTGACCCTTTGCTCCATGGGGACAGTGGGTTCATCGCCCTGTGAGTGCTGGCACTGCCGTGGGATGTCTTTTCCTATCTCTTCCCGTGTCTCAGCCCAGCTCACCTCTCCCTGGACATGAAGGGGAAAGAAAGGGCTTGAAAACTGCCAACTTCAGAGCTGCAGAAACCACATTGCCCCAGGGTTCCCCTGGTTCTCAGCAGCTTCACTCCCACCAGGGTACCCCTTTGCCCCAGTGCCCACGTACCCTCATGGGTCCCTGGATGTGGGGGCCAGCGTGTGGGGTGCCCTCAGCATCGCTCCAAAGAGACAGAGGTCTCCATCAACAGCAGAGGACCTCCTGGGTGGTTTTTATCATTTTACTTTATTTGCATGAAGATAAACCGCGCCTTTGTCTGTACAATTTCTCCTTAAATACTTGGCAACGCTTAAAAAAAACCCAAAACAAAAACAATAACAAACAGAAAAAAAAAAAAAGGAAAGGAACAGTGCAGGCTACAATATCAAAACAGTACGATGCTTGTGAATAAATACCCCCCCGGGGCAGCTGGGGGACACAGCTGTTCAGATTGCACGGGGCTGAGGAACCCCAGCCCTCCTGGGTCCTCACTACCCCTTCCCCTGACAGCAGGAACCGTGGCCAGACGGGGACCGGGCTGGGCATGGAGGACCCCCTCTTCTCTCTCCCAGCTCCTAGTTGCCCAGCTCAGCTGTGGTGGTGCTGGCGTTTTTGTTGGTTTTGCAGCAGAAGTACTGGTTCCAGATCTGCAGGAAGGCTGTCCGGAACTTCTTGATCCTGAAGGCGTAGACGATGGGGTTCATGGCGGAGTTGCCGTGGGTGAGGAAGATGGCGATGTAGGTGAGGATGTGCGGCGTCTCGCAGGATGGGCAGAACAAGGTGATGCAGTTGAGGACGTGCAGAGGGAGCCAGCTGAGCGCAAAGAGGAAGAGGACCAGTGCTAATGACTTGGCGATCTTCAGCTCCTTCCCATAATACTTCTGGGGGTCGTTGGAACTGGAGGAGACCTTCTTGTTGAGTTGCTTGCGGATGAGGTTGAAGACTTCCAGGTAGATGAGAAGCATCAGCAATAGGGGAGGCAGGACCCAAACGAAGAAGTTGAAGTACACCATGTACTCCATGCTGATGACCGTCTCAAACTGGCACTTGATGACAAACTCTGTGTGGCTGGCGTTCAGCTCCTGAGTCCTCCGCATCTTGTTCAGGTTGTTCCAGCCAAACATAGGGGTGAGTCCCACCAGAAAGGAGACGATCCAACAGCAAGCAATGGCAACTGCTGCTCGCCGGGGTGTCACCACGCTCTTATACCTGTGGTAGAGACAACAATCGCAGGAAATAATTAAACATAAGTGGGACGGTCTGCCTGGGGGTTAAGACTGCTACACATGGGGTGGCAGTGCCCATGCTGCAATGGCATGATGCTCCTCACTCCCTTCCTCGGCAATCAGTAACAGCTTGCCCTGACAGGCATGTTAGCCGGCTGGTTTCTCTGCATGTGTCCTGGGGAACCTCGCCCTGTCTCCCACCACCACCCAGGGATGGGCAGAGACCTCGGACATGGTCCTGGAGCTCTGGGGGTTGATGCCAAGTCAGGAAATGCATTAGCATCCTGGAGCATGATGGTGTGTTCAACCCTCATATTTGAGGGGGGGGTGTCATGTTGCTCTGGCAGCCCACCTTCCATCTGAGCACGCTGCACCCAGAGCAGCAGGTCACCCTTTCCTCCCCCCATGCACCAGCGCTGCCAGCACCCTGTCCCAAACAATTCCCCCTGCGCTGGGGGAGGGAATGGCCAGCAAAAGCATCCTCTGGGACCCACCAGGCTGGAAGAAGGATCCGCCGGAGCTAATGGACCCCTGGGGAAGCTTCTGGGCACAGCCTGTTTCATTTCCTAATGTGTTGGGTCGATGGACAAAACCCTCTTTCCTAATGGGCCGGTGCCAAAGGATGGAGGAGGAGGAGGGCGGTGCGCTGGCTGGGCTCTGCTCCCTCCCTGATGCCACTGGGGAGCAGGCCAGGGCTGGGCTCGTCTCTCCAGAGCTCTCCAAGCGGGAAGTGGAGCCTGCTAGATTGATTTTTCCCCCTGGCCCTCAAAGCAAAGCTTCTTCTCAGAGGCCAAGAAGATTCACAGCCTGAGTGTTATTGCTTTACACTGGAGGGGATTGAACAAAGAATGTTTTTCTGACTGTTTGCTGGGGTTTTCAGTGATGGCGGTGTTAACCCGGCCATGGGGACCACGTAGAGATGGCTGGCAAGCCTGGATCTCCATCCTGGTACTCGGAGCTCCCTGATGCATGTCTGCAGCCTTTACCGGTGGTGGAAAAACGGAGCATTTCAGGGGGTTTTGATACAGTCAAGCACCCAAACCCGCTCTCCCTCCCCTTTGAAGGTCCCTTCTCAAGGCCCATCTCATGGACCAGGTGGAATGGGGACATGGAGGGGCACAGGGTGGAGGGGGGGAACGTTGGTGCCCAGGACCCCAGAGGGTCAAGAGCCACCAGTCCCCCACAACTTTCCTGAATGAACCCCCTCCGCTCTGGGAAAAGATTCCCAGCATCCTGGAGGCAGCCAGGTCCCGCGGGAGAGAGGTGGCAACGCGGGCGGCTGCTTCCTCTGAGAGCGGAGGCTGGAACCAGAGGGTGATTTATTCCTTCTGGAGAGGAGAGAGGGCAGGAGACCCTGAGAAAGACGCGGGGCAAGGAGAGCCGGGGCACGGGAAGGATGAGGGGTGGTGGGAGAGCACCAGCACTGTGGGACAAGCGAAAGGAAAGGTGGAGGGGGAGCATGGGAGCGGAGGGTAGCAGAGGGATACCAGAGGCTCCAGTGGGGCACCCCATGTCACCGATAACAGCCCCTTGGGAGAAGGCTGATGTGCCCTTCCCACCGTCGTGTCCCACTCCCACCTCCCCAGACTCAAGCATCTCAGTGTGTGGGGACAGTAGAAATAGCAGCACACACACCCCCCCCATGTCCCATCTCTGCACTCCCGGGGGTTTCCAGGGTCTTCTACTGGTTTTGCTGAATGCGCTGCAGTCCTGGGTGCTCCCCAGCCCGCAGAGCTGTGCAGCAGCGATCACCGGAGAGATGAGGCTGTTGAGCAGCAGCGGTGCCACTGTGGTCCCCAAACACCCTCCCAGGGCTTGCAGCCAGCACCTGGGCATGGACCTGCTCCCAGAACACCCACCCCTTCTCCCCCCTGCCTCTCATGCCTGGGTTTGGGGAGCGCAGGGGACAAAGTGAGCACTGAGAACCCCTCATGAGCCATGAACCAGTGCCGGATCAGAGGACACAGTGTTCACTCTTGCAGCCAAGGCGAAGGGGATGGGGAACGCTGCAGGGGACCTCGCCTGGACAGTCCTGGCCCCCTGCAGCTCCAGAACATCATGTGTTGTTGCAGATGGTTATCAGGACAGCTGTGGAGGTCGTGCAGACCTCAGGTCCCCGTGTGCATGCCAGCCCACATGGTCCAAGGGTATAACACACACATAGCAGAGCAACCATCCCACACGCTGCCGGCTGCTCATCCACCTCCCCACCTCACTGCACATCCCTCCCACCTCCTCGCTGTACATCCATCCCTTCTCAATACACATCCATCCCTTCTCAATACACATCCATCCCTTCTCAATACACATCCATCTCTCCTCTTCACTGTACATCCATCCCTCTTCACCTCACATGGATGCTGCGCCTCCATCCCTTTTCCCCACTGCACATCCATCTCTCTGCCATGGTTCACATCCATCCCTCCTTGCTGCACATCCATCTCCGCCACCTCGCTGCGCATCCCTGGCCTGACACCCACAAGGGTTCGAGCATCAGGACCTGGCTGTCCCTGCTCCTCGCTTCTCTTTGCACCGTGAGGTTTAAGCACAGCACTGCAGAAGCAGCCGGCAGCTGAGAGCAAAGCCTGTCCGTACATCCCCCTGCACGTGTGCATCATGGTCACAGGAACCACGGCTGAACCCGAAAAATACATAGAACATTTGGAGTTGGGGCTTTTGCTCCCTTTGGTCCTTCAGGCAAGAAGCCAAGGGCAGAGGCAGCTGAAGCACCCTGCAGGGAAACGTGCCCGCTGCCCCCCGTCAGTCCTACATGGAGAATGGCAAAAGCCATAAAATGACTCTGAGTCGCTCCTCCGTCCACCCCACGGGGTCTGACCATGCAGTTCTCATGGGGCTCAGCTGCTCTGAAGGCTGCAAACCCTACTTAAAGGAGGGAAATGCAAGATCCCACTTAATGCTCAACCCCATGGCACAGCGGGTTTGGTGGGGGACAATCAGCAGAGGGGTGAGGGACAGACCTCGCTGTTCCTGTGTTTCTGCCTTAAAGAAAAAGCTTTTCTCATTTACCTCATTTTGCATTAACATGATAGGGCTGGAGTTTGGGACGGGTCTGGGAGGCAGAAGCACCAGATAATGCCGATAATGGCTTGCAATTAATAAATAATCTTATTATTATCATCAGCATCGGAACAATTGCTAGCATCATTGCAATTTTATTACCACTATTATTTTTATTAACAGCTGTGACTAAAACATCCATGATAATAGTCACCGCCATCATCATACAATTTGGGTTTGTTTCCTTTGTCTGTGGGGTTTTAAGCCTGACCATAATTGCCAGCTTTTCCTCCTGCCCTCCCTCACCAGCGGTTTTTGCACCATCCCTTCCCCACAGAGATGGGCATCGCCCCAAGTCCTGCTGGATGCCCTGCCAAGGCCAAGAGAAAGTAGCCTGGAGGAAGCACAGCAACTGTCCAGCCCCATTGATATCCTGGTGAAATGGGCTGGGCAGGAGCTTTGGTTTGGTGTGAAGCAAAACCGCCTTTGAGGGTTTTGGAAATAATGCAAAGAGGCAAAATATCTATTATTGACAGAGTGCTGTCTGCATCCCCAGAGGAAGTGCAAGAAGTGATGGTTGGAGGTGGAGGCAGACAAATGGTCCCCAAGGACTGTGCTGAGCTAACGGGGAGACATGGAGCAGAATCCTCCAGGGAGACATACTGCCTTGTGATGGGACACTCCAGGAGATGCTGCAGCCAAAGTTTCATGGGCTGAGGATGGAGTCGCTGGGGAAAATGCTGAGGCCCCTTTTCTCCAGGAGATCATGAAATGCTCCCCAGGCCCTCACCTTGAGGACATTATCCACCCTCCTTTCCCTTTACTCATCATTCGCAGACTAGATTCAACTTCTTCTGCCACATCTTGATGTGCCCAGACCTCTGCATCCCTCCCTGCTGCAGCCAAGGGAGCCCAGCTCAGCCTAAACCTGCTCTTTAGCTGTCTGGCACTGGGTGCGGAAAGCCCCTGTGGCCATCTAACATATCAGGACACAGCTGAAAACAAATGGAGAGTGGCATATTCCTTGCATGACTATTGATTTGACTTTTGTCTGGGGGTCTGTGCCCCCAAGAGAGAGACGAGGGTTCATTTCCTGGATCCCACAGCTTAATCCAAATCTAACACTCATAAAACACCTCATCTTGTTTTGGTTGAAAAAGCTTCAAAGATCTGGTTTGAATAAAATTTATTTGGTTTTCAGTATTTCTGTGAATATCTCTTTTGTCCAGAAAATACTTGCAGTTGTCCAGCCAGCCCCAAGATGCGGCTTTGCTGGTCCTTGCTCTGGTAGGGTTTATTGCAGTGCAACTCCTGGGGAATTAATTCGCTAATGAAGGCAGGCCATCGCTAATGAAATGAAGCTGGAGCCAACATGGTAGGAGGAAAGGAGGCCAAGCTGACATGAAGCTCATCTGCACTATGAACACAGCAAGGAAAAGCAGCCAGAGCATGTCCTGATCTAATTGAAAATCTCTAGACAAAAGTGCTTTGATCTCAGAGCTTTTTGGTTTCTTCTCCTTTTTTCCTGGCTGTATCTTTGCTTTCAGTGTCCTGGAGGCCGTTGGGTGGGAAAACTCAGATGTTGGTGTTCAAAGCTGCTCATAAATCCAGAGCTGAGAAATGCAAAGTGGCATCGGGGTTCCGCAAGGGACAATCTCAGCTGTGGCTCAGGGTTGGGAGGAGGAGGTCCCTGGGCACCTCCACAAGGGGGGAAGTGCTGCAGAAGGGACACTGCGTGACAGAAGAACCCTGATCACAGCTCCTTTGTCACCTCTAACCCTGGACGTGAAAAGTTGATTCCTTCTTCAGTCTCTTGCTTTGGCTATTTTTCTCCTTCCCTTCAGATCTCTTTTGCACTTCGTTTAGGTAAAAACCCTAAGTTCAAAATCCTGAAGGTTATCAAGGATTTGAAGGTGTATTAAATTGTCTAAAAAGGTCTGTCAGAATTGGCATAAATGTCTCTTA